TGTGTGTGTGTGTGTTTGTGTTTAAGGGAAGTAGCTCACCAAAACTGAGTGCATGCCAGTATAGATGCGGCTCAGACACACCAGGGACGACAGCGTCACTGCAATCAGCAGACCCACCTCGAACTGGAACTGAGCCACGATAAAAGATAAAATATTAAATCTGTGAAAGAAGAATGTCGTGTGTCACATGCATCTGAGATTCTTCACATTCCTCAGTGCACGCACAAAAACAGCGGTCGTGCTCTACTTCCTTAAATCCTCTCATCCATTTGTCCCTGTAGACACGGAACTCCTCTTTCTGCCACTTGTCCTTTCTGGTTGACGCACTGCCCGCCATCCAGTCACTTTGGGTCCTTTAGTCCTCCACTGTCTCCATCCTCTGTCCCCTCCTTCCTTTACCTATAGCGGCAGGTTTTGTTCCCCCCTCCATTTCAATAACAGTGAGAAGAGAGGCCTTGTGTATTCATTCACCTCCTCCACCCTCCCCTCCTGTGCTCCCCTCCTCTCCTCCTCTCTGCCTCTTTTCCTGTGTCTTTTCCTGTCTTTTGCAGCTGGAAGCCTATTCACTGGTAGTTCATGAAGAGAGGTTTTTTTATGAATGGCCACAAAGGATGCCAGGGACAGGAGGGGGGTCACGCTGTGATTGACTGTCATGACCTCCGACCTGCTCTGAGAACAGGGCGAGTTGCCCTGAGGCCTTGTGTCTATTCAGGAGCCTCTGCAACAGCCTGCTACTCATTTATAGCTATGCATGCCCTTTTCTCTCAGAGGGATCCTGGAGGAATTTCAGGCCACAGTTAAGTGCTCTACTGTACATGGACGTCTCAGGGTTCTTGAGGTGATTTCTCTGACCTCGAGAGCAGGAATGTAAGAACCCGACCGAGCGCTATAGCTGACACGGTCCGACCACAAATCAGTCTGACAGCTGCCGAGGCCGTAAACTACCAACTGATGGAGCCAGCATTCACTCAGGTTCTTCGTTAAAACACGGTGTGTGATTAAGACAGCCCGTGATTGAGCCACGGACTGTTTTATTGACTTGGCAGTAGAGTAGGAGAGATAAAGGCAGGAAGAGTCGGGAGGAGGAGGGAGGCAGTGACGTGGATTGACAGTCATTGACTCAGTCGAGTCCATCAGAGGACCAAACAGCAGCTCGACGGGTGTGGCTGATGGTGACTGATGGTGACTGCTGGCCCCGCCCCTGCCTGCCCATTGTCCAACAGCTCAGTGAGGACTCACTGATGGACAGCGGGGCCACTCCCTTCATCCCACTCAGCTAGCAGTGAGCGAGACGCTGTCCACAGGCTCCCAGCGCCTCATATTTAACCTCATTCACTGTGAGAAGCTTCTCATTAGTAGCGACTAATTTAACACCTACTGGGGCTGCTCTTAAAGGAATCCATAACATCGAATGGAAATTTAATGGCACTGCCTCGTGACACATTTACAGTTCGTCTAAACGTCCATCTCTAATGAGGTGGATGGAGCTAATTTGCAGTCAGCTATGGAGGCAATAGCATTTTTCCTAGTGATGAGCGGTGACAGTTAAAATCATGACATGTTTCAACAGTAATTCCAATCACCACCATCTCTACTCACTCACAGAAGAGAAACTGGGTTTAGATTTGTTAAAGTAAGACACAATAAACCCAATTATCGAACTATGTGAGCATGGAAGTTATTTCCTCCACCAATCTCTCCCTCATTTCTTATCTTTCACCCGGCCGCTCTCTCTGACTCTGGTTCTAGAGGGTTCTTCCAGTTTAAAGGGAGTTTTTCTCTCCTCAGTCGCTGAGTGTTCATTGTGGGAACTGTTGGGTTTCTCTTTTATATTGTAAGATCTTCACCTAACCATCTAAAGTACCTTGAAATAATGTATGTTGACTTTAACCCGCTTCCAGATGCTCTGCTCTCATCAGTCTTAGATTTGACCCAGTTCCATTTCCTTATGACTGTGAGATGCAGTTGAAAACACAGAAATCATTGTTACAAGCATAGATTATTTGGCCCTGCATCATAGCTCACAACAGACAAGTGCACTGTGTAACTGGTTGACTGTGTTTCATCACAGATCTCAGCGATGCCCACCTGTATCCTGGTTTGGGCGCTCAGTAAAAAGGTAAAGGAGATGGCAGTGGCAGCCATGGCGTGAGTGGAGGGCAGCCCGTACTCTGCGCTGACTCGTGTCTCCAGCTTAACCACAGGGGGTGAATGAGGGCGAGGCAGCTTCAGCACATCCTTCATCACCTGGCCGACATACATCACCAACTAAAAAAGAGGTGAGAGTACATGTGTATCAGAAGCAGGGTCCCAACGAATACCCAATACAGAGGTATTCACAGGTCCACATTTTATACAGTGTGTGTGTGTTGCAATTTACAATACAGTAATAATGCAAAAATCAGTTAATTAGGTAAAAAAATTAAAATAAGGGCCACAACAAGGCTAATAACGAATTTACTTTCTATCTGAAATCACTTGGGAGTGGTTAAAGTTAGCCATGCTGCTACTTCAATCACCAATAACAGAAAACCTCTGAATTAATAGAAAATTCAAACTCCTGAGGAGGAAACAAACTGAAATTGTCTTATTTTCTATAGCGCTTATCATGAGAGACTATTCTCTCCGTCTATTCCAGGTGAATCTTTATTTAGCAGTTGAAATGTGATTCAATACAAGAAAAGCCTACAGAGAGAGTGCTGCAGTGAGCTGGCAAGAAAAGACGAAATCTGAGATGGAGGAAGATGATAATAAAATAATGAGAAGATGAAATAAAATCCTGATTAGGCTATGCTCTAAAAGTAACCACACTCTCATAAATAAGTAATACCCCTTCCAACGCCACAAAGGAAAGAGAAAAGAGAGGAAGACCAATCTGTTCAGAAGATGGAGACCCATCCTGGAATAAAGTGCAGATGTTGCAGTCGTACAGAAACAAAATCTATTGTAAGAAGCTGAGAATTGAAGAGGGCAGGATTTGCTGAGACAGCGTCTTCGGAGGGTGGAGTGAGACAGAGGGTACTTCACATAATGACAGTTAGTGCAAGGTGTGTGTGTGT